GCAGGAATGTCCACTGCTAGCTTGTATAAATGCGTGATCTAGCAGTGACACAATCTCTCCTCTTTCTGCTCTTGGTCCCTGTGCTCACCTAGTACATCTGCCTACTCTAGGCTCTGGTCCTGCTCCACCGTCAGAGTGTTGGTGCAATGGCCAGGCTGAAGGGTCCCCAGTTTCTTTTGTGCTTGTGGGAGTTCACTATGGTACAAATAATTGATGCGAGCTAATTATTAACGTTAGCTATGTTGCCATAGGGATGCTGAGCGGGAGAGAAAATTAGCTTATAAAGGTTTGCAGAGAAATGTTTAGCAAAGAGCTTTCTCTGTTGGTGTGGTCCATACTTTGAAAATGGAGAATGACTGTTAAAGAAAAACTTGAGTAGAACAAGAATAAAAAAAACCCCTAAGTTAGTGGTTACTGCGCCATGTGCGCGCTATTGCCAAACAAAGAACTTCAAACTTGATGACAAAGCTGTATATAAGCTTGCATGATGAAATCTGAAGCTGGACAAACACAGCTTGGTTTTCATTTATAGTTTAAAGCCCATAATCTGTCCAAGTTCATAAAGATCTTGATAAAGTTGAGCCAAGTTTTAGGAGACCGTGTTTGAGTTATAGTTTCTGATGGAAACTATGCAAAAAGGATGGGCTTTCATGCCAAAGCAGACAAAAGTTATAGTTTTGACTGTGGTTTACTTTAAGTTTGGGAGTTAAAGTCTGAGCTCAAAGTAAAATAAAACTCGGAGACTTCCGGCCAACAAAAGAAAAAGTTAACTGGAGCCGCCACAGCTTGCTTTTTTTTTCCCCCCTTTTTTTTTTGTGACAGTCTGTAGTCTGTCTTTGGGGGGGGGGTTTTGTATTTACCACATTGCCATAAATTAAAATGGAATACAGATTCTGCTCTGCCTTTTGTTTTCTTATTAACAAACATCTGGAAACTCGGGCCTCAGCAAGTAGGTTTTGCTCTACAGTGTCTCTTTTGGGAATGGTTATATATTAATATTGGCTCTGCTCTAGAGGAGGAAGTCAGCTGGACTTGTGTTTTCCCATTGCAGATGTTGTCCTGGAGAAGGCCATGCATAAGTGCATTCTGAAGCCATTGAAGAGCCACATTGAAGCAATGTTGAAAGAGTTTCATACCGCGGATGGTTCTTGGAAACAGCTAAAGGAAAACCTGCAGTTGGTGCGGCAGAGGAATCCTCAGGAACTGGGCGTGTTTGTTCCAACACCAGACTTTGTGGATGTTGAAAAGATTAAAGTCAAGTTCATGACCATGCAGAAAATGTATTCACCTGAAAAGAAAGTCATGCTGCTGCTGAGAGTTTGCAAATTGATTTACACGGTTATGGAGAATAACTCAGGTATCGTGCTTCTCATGGTTCAAGTTCACTGATATTCCAAACCTGGGGTTGTCTTTTCGTGGAGGAAATCAGACCACCTGGTTCTGCAGATATGTCTCCTTCTCCTGGAGCTCTCGTAGCATCTCCTTGCCCTTTTGAGAGGCATTCTTCCTCTCTGCTTCTTTCCTGATAATCTCTGATGCATCTGGAAGCCCATCTTACAAATTCAGTCTGAAGCAGAGTTGTGAAGCTTAAAAAAACCAGCTTTGTTCAACTGTAGGCTTTTGAAGTTGGCTGTCCTGTGAGCCTTGAATGGGATACTGGTTCTAAATGAGTATTTTTCTGGAAATTGTAATAAGAGGTAACACCCTGTATTTAGCTATAGTAATTCAATAGCGTGTAATGCAATATGATGACTACAAGGCCTCTGTGTTAATGGGTGGAGCAAAGCAGCCTCTGATCCAGTATTTTTGGCTTGCTGTGCCTCTGAATGTTCTTATTTGGACACTTCCTTTGGTGTTTTTGGAACAGAAATAACCTCTATTTCTACACTGTAGCAAGAGTCCAAAAGCGACCTTGAAACCTAGATAATTAAATGGAACTACAGATCAATAAGACCTGCTGAGTAGTTAGTGGCACAAATAAAATGCTGTGCTGGACAGCATGAATTCATAGGTGCAACTCTGTTGCCTGACGTCTTATCATACACTGCTGTCATAGGTCACGAGCTAAGGTGAAGCAATGCTGGTGGTAGTGGGAGATTTTTTTCCCTAAGCAAGTATAAGCTGCTTCAGGTGGTTGGCAGTTTTCTTTCCAAGTGAGCATTGAATGTGCAGCTAGGTCTGGTGCTGATCAAGATGCCTACTTTCTTTTGAGATTTGAGATGAACGGTGAAAGCTTGTGGCTGTTAAAGACCCCCAGGCACTTTTGCAAGATTTAGGTCTGAGCTCCTGCCCAGCTTATTATTGCTGTGCAAAATCCTGCATTTTAAAATGCATATAGGAATCTTGGCCTGAAGTGCTGTAAACTCTTTTCTCCATGCTTTGTTATCACATTGAGTAAGGTATTTCCAACATGCAGAAGAAAAAATATTGAGAGGCTGCTGCCACTTAACTGTTGCACTGAGGGGCTTGGGATAAGATGTGGCAAATGCTCCTTGGGTTGTCTTGTTTTGTCATGTGGAGTTTGTAAAACATAGCACTGAGCCAGCAGCTGTTTGAGTATCTGCTTTGTCATGTACTTTCAGCCAGATAATAGCGTAATACTTGGAGGGTAAGCCTTAGCTGGTATAACTTTAGATATCAGCCCTTCAGTCATCCGGAGTTTCACCAAAGTTTTTAAGTTGGCTCCTGCTCTTGGTGGTTTTAAATGACCATCACGCCAGTTCTGCAATGAACACAGTTTGGCCAGACCCAGAGATTCGGCCACACAGTATTTTCTAAACAGAAAGTTTAAATGCAATAAAAGTGATAGAAGCACAGACAGACTTAGGTACAGCATAGTCTCTGTGGGTTAGCTGCGTGCTGCCATTGCCAATGATGCTTCACTAGCTAGTTGGGAATGATATGAGGCTTTGCTCGCTGGTGTTTTTAACTATGCTCTGTCAAGGAAATGAGCTGAGTTTTCATGTCAAATCTAATAGGCTTTTATATTCAGGCTTCTCTGCTGGGATTCAGACTCAGAAACTGGTATTACTTTCTGGAAGGATCCAGCCACATGTTGTCCCTGCATGTATAAAGAAAATGCTTATTCATCATCTCTTAGCCAGTGATAGAAGTGCAGTGGAGGTCAGGCCAGACTGGCATGGTAGCCTTTTGTGAGTTGACCAGTTGAGCTGGTGCCAAGGTGAGCCCAGTCTTTAAATTCCCTTGCATGCCTCAAGGTGTGCACAGATTTGTGCTTGTTAGAAGCACGGGATGAAGCTGGTGTTGGTCTCCTGTCCAGCAAGTGTCAGATGATGTTTCCTTTGCTGCACATTGATAACAGGAGGCTCTAGAGTAATGCAAATGTACTGGTCAGTGAAGGCAGCAAAATAATGCTTTCCTTTCAAACACTGAAACTGGTAAAAGGGTGCGGTTTGTCTATCACTGTCTGTGTTCCCTTCAACCCAGGGAGGCTGTATGGAGCGGATGACTTCTTGCCTGTGTTGACATATGTACTAGCCCAGTGTGATATGCTGGAGCTGGATACTGAAATTGAATACATGATGGAATTGCTGGATCCATCTTTGCTGCATGGAGAAGGTAATCTATTTATTTATTTTTATTACAATTGAGTGAAGGACTAGGATAGGGGGATTATTCCTCATAGGACAGTTGCCGTTAACGTTGTTTGAGTAGAAACCCTTTCAAGGGGAGTCCTAAAGTCAGCGATGTCGGTAGTGTTAACAAGAGTATCTCGTAATTATTTCCACCTTAAAGAGAAAGCTGGTTAGCTTGCAGAGTACAGGCTTAAGTGACCTGGGAATCTACTGATGTATGCTACTTTATGAGAGAATACACTGTTTTCAACCAAGAGGGGGGAGGCATTGTGACTTAGCAAGCAAACATGTTCACTGTGCAGGTGCCAAATGTGTTTATCCTTCTGTGCCTGAAAATATCCTGAGAGTATTTATAAGGCTGTAGCATTCAGTTAAATTGAGACACACATAATGGGACTTGGGTTAGGTGCTTTGTAAAAACTTCTGGGGAAATTCTCTGCCGGGGAAGTGCTTTTGAGAATATTGCCCCCCTTAATGATCTTTGCTTCTTCCCAATATTTGCTTCTCACAAAGTATTTTTATGGGCCCTAGCAATACGTTTCCTAAGGCACTCTTGAATGACGGCTGAAGTCTGCTAGAGGCAAGGAAAGAAATCTCCCTCCTTTCTGTTTTCATGGTGGTGTTTTTAACAAAGAGGTATTCTGCAAGCCCTTGGTAGGCCCCAGAATCTGCCAGTTTATGAGGAAGTTTAAAGGTTCTTGTGACCAAGCTCAGCTGTGAGTTTAAGTATATGTATATGTTTCCCGTTCCTGCTATCTCTTAGCTTGCTGAAATTGCTGTATCCTCTTACATGCTGGTATGCATGGGAGAACTATGCTAGGATTCCTCCAATTTGGCACTAGTCTGTTCCCTGCTTTGTGTACGGAGCATCCTCTAGTGCATTGTTCAGGAATCTTAGCACGGAAAATACTTGAGATGAGAAGCTGGAGATCATTAACGTGCTTGAAAGGCAGAAACATTTACTGGACTATTAAGTCATGTTTTTAATGCAGCAAAAGAAGTCCATCCATTGGCTGGCCCTGTCTTTGGTACCAGCTGAACTATACTATGCAGGAAAAATCATTTAGTGCTTTGGGATTGTGTGGTTCAAATGTAATTTATTGTCCAATTTGTTTCATGGGTCTTACATGTGTTTTACTTATTAAACTTGTTGCAAAGCTAAAGGCCAAGAGGATGCTATCAGTAATACAGAAAATGCTACTGTGAGCATAGAATGCGTCTTTGAATGACTCCATGAATAGTCTGTGCTGCCTCTTAATTGGACACTCCCACTCAAATAGTTTACTTCAAAAAAAAAAAAAAAAAAAAAAAAAGCAAGAGAAATAAATGACAGCAAGTCTTTTGTTTCTCCTGGTTGTTGAGGTCTGTTAACTCCTGTTGAGACTCCTTTTCCTTTGTGACCTGCAGCTTCTTTTGTACATTGGCAACTCTGTCTTGGCTTTAATTTGTTCTCCACTCATGTAATAAAGGTGAGGTATGGAGGACTGTATACATTCACCTCCTGAACTACTTGGACATTATGGGGAACGCTAAAAAGGTGACAAACACAGTCCTCCTTTTAAAAACAAAAGCAAACTCTTTGGGACGCTTCCAGGGTACAAATCACAGTGTCAGTCATTGCTTTATTGCCACTAAGGGTGGTTGCTTTTAAGTTCCTGAACAGTGGTAGATTGTCTCTTACTTTGTTTAAACAGCTATGTTTATTTCATCCACACTTGAAGCTCGGGAAGAAAACAAATCACTGTTTGAAAATTGTTTAGAAGAAAACTCATGTTCCAACTTTGTAAAAACACTCGGAGTAAAGGAGTGACACCAGTCATTTAAGTAACCAGCTATCCCCAGCACTAGTGGACCCAGAGTTAGATACTATTGCACCACTTGGTAATATGGAGCACCTGCAACTACTGCATGTGTCTTAGCAGTTGAGAACACACCATCCGGTATTTTGCAGGCCAGTGAGCTGTTTTTCTTTATGTATAAATGTTTTGGCAATAGAGTACATGGACTTTTATATAAATGTGTGTGTGTGTGTATATTAAAAAAAAATGTGTTTGTACTTCCGACTGTGACCAGTCGGAACTAGCGTGGTGTTTGTGACCACTCTGAGAAGTTCTTCCCCTTGCTGTCCTTCACAGGAGGCTATTACTTGACAAGCGCTTATGGAGCACTTTCACTGATCAAGAACTTCCAGGAAGAACAAGCTGCCCGACTGCTAAGTTCAGAAGCCAGAGATACTCTCCGGCAATGGCACAAGAGGAGGACAACTAACAGGACGATACCTTCAGTTGATGATTTTCAGGTAGAGCTTAGGGCTGAAGAACAAAACAGGGGATGATTGTTTTGTTGGAAATCCTCATTTGAGAGGTATGATTCATAACGATTCCCTTGGGGCCACAAGGTAAGTGGAGTGCAGTGCTGAGGATATGGCTGGCAAATTTGCCTTGGTTTTGAAGTCTTTGCACTTTAGAGAGTTTGATTATGACGGTCTAAAGAAAACACTAAATAGCGGAACTTTCCCACCCTCCTTTTTATTTAAGTCATGTAGAGCGAGGACAAACTGAATCATATCTTAGATCCAGCTTTTTTGTATGCTTTACTGTCAAAAAGAACAAATCCAGATTTTCAGTGGTATAAATGCCACCAGTAGCTAATGGTGGCATACAGCACGGTAATAGAGAGGAGAGGTGGGAGAAAAGCTTGCCTACAGTTTTAAAGTTTAAGCAAGGAGTAGAGTTCTATACTAGGATGTCTTCACGTTTGTTTGTGTTTTTTCCCTCCCCTCCATTTCTTACTGCTCTTTCAGAGTAGGGCAGTAACTTCAGCTGAAGAATAACAAAACAGTCGGGATTACTTCATCTTTTAAAACCAGGCCTGCATGTCTTTCATATAGTATGCTGTTGATTGTTCAGATGCATCAGTTTGTGGACTGAAGCAAGGAGGACGTTGGAATGGAGAAGAAAGGATTTACTCCTTTGTGTTTGCTTGTTTACAGTTCATACCACAGCCAGAGAGGCTAATGACAACCATCAATTAGTTGTTGTAGTTAAGAGCTTGAGAAATGAAGGTGCGGGGTCATCAGGAGATCATGAAACCTTTCAGCTGAGGTTCCTTCTGCTTTATCAGTGTCCATGCAAACGACTACAGCACAACACTGAACAGGAAGGAGTTGGGAAAAGAAGCAGTCTTCCACAATTTGCCTCTTTTAGGAAGAGGAGAACTGAGTAACAAATTCCAAACTATGGCCAGTGCAAAAAGCTAGTCCATCTTACTGGGGTCCATTTTATATTCTGCTTACCTGTAGTTAGGTATCAGATTCAAGTAGCTTGAGTCTTTGTTCTTTCTAGCAAAACACTACACTGTTTCATAGGAAAATTCATCACCTGGATGACTAAATGACAGAA